CTATAAAAATATTTTGTAAAAATTTACGTATGTATAAAATAGAAAAAATTTGAATTAAGGAAATCATTGCATTGTATTCACATTATATAGTATTTTGTTTTAATTTAATTTTTCATGAATAGCAAATTATAAGACAATTGAACCGAAATTCTTTTGTGCAATATTTTTTTTAATTATAGAATATCAACATTGATGACTAAAAGATTAAAGAGTTGATGTTATTCCAAAAAGTTTTGTGAAAATATCTATATATCTCTTATGTTACAGTATTGTACAAAATATTTTACAAGTAACGTAGAAGTCAAATCGTGGAAACTAATGGATTATTATACGAGATCAAATTTACTGCAATGAAGATCTCATGTTTAGATGAGTCTAGAGGCACTCATACGTTTTATGTGGAATATTGATTTAGAAATTTCAAGACACGTTAATTTCGATGAGAGTGACATGAACCATGATATTGCACTAAGGTTTGATAATGCGCAAGAAATTTTTTGCTGAAAGTTTCATGATGCCCTTGAAGCAATGAAACAAATGGATGTAGACTATGCAAGCCCACAAACAATCATAAGAACTTACATCTATCTCCAACCGTTTTTAAGGTCAAAAACTCACTTTTGTGGATTTATTTGGTGCATGTGATGAAATTCATGTACCGGTTATGGTGACACTAGGTCAAAATGACCTCTAATTTATAAACAAAAAAAGAATTGTGAGTCTCAGTGTGTTATCTATTTGTGACATGCTTTTCACATATTGTTTTGTCGAGATGGCATGATCTACCCATGATACACACGTGTTAGCGGCCGCGATTCAAAATGATTTAAAGTTTCATGTACCTAAAAAAAAATATGTATTATCTTGTAGATGATGGTGCACAACATATTGATAATGTTAGTGTTGAAAGTAATTAAATAGTAATAAAATACACGATTATAATTAAACAATATTATAACTTTATAAATCACAAATGTTTACAATAATTTAATTAAAGAACATAGTTTTATGATAAAAATTTCAAGCTTTACTTATGCCATGTTTGTTCAGCAATCTGATCAAGAAGTATCCATATATACATTTCTACTTGTGATTCTTATTCACTATCAACAGCATCATTTTTGTAATCCTCGTCATTTACCAACAATTTAAATACTGTCAGTTACTCTTATTTAGTGCTATTCACATTTATAAAAAAAATCTTACTTTTCGTTACTTTAATTATCATTTTTTTCTTTTTAATTACAATAAATTACTAACAATTTTTATACACTAGATTCACATATCTTCTGAAGATTACAACGGAAATAAATTCTAACAACAAAAAAAAAGCCGATAATAAACACTAAATTTATTGGGAAAAATGATCATTTTAATACCCTATTGTCTCTTTTGCGCCAAAACATATACCAACTTGTTAATAAGTCAAACAATGTATGGATTCAAATTGACTCAACCAAATTAGATATGAAATTAGTCAACCTTAACATCTGTTTAATGGATGTTAAACTCAGTTTACTATGAACATTAAGAGCCGTTTAACTAAAACATTGTCGTTTTAAAACAGAGTAGAAGCAAAATAATTGGGCTAAATCCCCAAATTGATACCATCCCAAACTCCTAAAATCTATTTCTCTCTTCCTCAGTCCTCTCTTTCCGAATCTGTCTTACTCGATCAACACATAGATCAATGTCTAAGGTATTATTCTCGATGCTTATTGTGCAAGGGAGAAAATAGAGGCCGAAGACAATGGTCACACGTCAAACTTGCACATTATTTTGCCGCGATGAAGAGGTTGAAAGATCTGAGTAAATCGTGGAATCAAATGAGTTTTCTAGGTCTGAAAATCTCCAGGGAAGGAGCAAAATCGAGAACGAACGATATAATAACAACGTTCTTTAGGAAGAGAGATGACCATAAGGCAGAAGAAGATGGCGAAGGTGGTCACATGGGTAATGGTATTGCGCATTGTCGCCTACATTGATGGACCGTCTTTGTATTGGTATCTCAACAGCTCTTGCCCTCCTTGTCTCTGTGACTGTTCTTCTCATCTCCTCTCCATCACAAACGGTAATTTGATATATATATATATTTTGGCCCAAAACAAACAACTAGATAGTAAAATAACTGTTATCTCTAAATTCATTGTAATTGTGATAAAATAGAAATATTGTAGTTGATGTAGAATCGAGTCAATTTCCTCCTAAATATTTAAGACTTTAATACTCGTTACTTAACTTTCTCTCTAAAAAAAAACCTCTGTCCGTTTTCTCTCTTATCAACAATACCGCCGTTCACCGATTTGATGCAGCTCCAGCGGCTCCGTTAGTGCCGGAGCTGTGTCTCAGTCTTTATTTTCATGTTCTCTTTGCTTTAATCGGTTGTGCTTATCTATTGGGAGAAATCTGATTCGGACTTTCTTTAGATCTACAATTTTTGTTCTGATTTTGGTTTTCTTGTTCTACATGGTCTGTTCTTCCTTAATCTTAGTGGCCTCTAGCGAACTGGAGATTTTACAGGGTTGTTTGCAAGATTTGGGTTGCGGTCATGGTGGTTAGTTTAGCGACCTTGGTTGTCTTTGTGGCTCTTTCTAGGTTCGCAATTTTTGTTATAAATCTGTGGGTGTGGACTTGTCTAGTTCTGTTCCAAGGAGGTTTTGATTCTAGGTCAGGGAGTTGGGGTTTGTCGACTCGGGAGTCCAGATGTAGGTATTAGGATGATCTCTTGACGGAGCGTCAAAACCGCATTGCTACGAGTCTACTTACCTTTCTTCAGCTCTAGTCTTAGTTTGGCTCCTCCTTAAGGCAGTGATTATTCGTTGATTCTGGTTTTCTTTTTGAATAACTGTTTGTGGTTTCCATGGAATGGCTCGGGTTATTTATCGGTCTGGTTTTGTCTTCCTCATCCCTCTGTCGCGCTTGCTATAGCTTCCTCGCTGTCATCCTTTCCGATTTTAGCAGGTAAAGGGTTCAGCTTTGTGCTTGTCTTCTCGACGGTATTTCTCTACATGGGTAGTCGAGCATTGTCTTGTTGCCTTGATGTAGAATCGTGGGTTTTCAAGGCAGTCCCTCGCCCAGCTCTATTGTTGGTGTACTTCTTCCATAGGTTGTCTTCAAGGGATCGAGTCGGTTGCGTCTGCTCGGATTTTCTTTGGAAATCTGCCTGGGAGTCCGGTGAGATGGCGTTTAGGCTCTAAGAGCCTGATTATGGATGGTAAATAAGGGTAAATATAAGAGGTTTTTAATATTATAAAATTTTTATATTTATCCAAACCATTTTTGGGTTTCTAAATATAGAATCTATGTTACCCATATTTAGTGGGTAAATATAACATCTCTCTCCTTTCTGTCTCTATTCATCAATCTCAATATAATTAATATTATAAAATTCATATATTAACCCAATCATATTTACTACCTGTAATCATGCTAGTCTTTAGTTGTTAATTTTTAAGTGTTGATATATATGCTTGGGGTTTATCCTTGTCTAAGCTTTTGCTTCTAGGGTTTCTTTGTACGTCGCTGGCTCTCTCTTCGGAAAGGATTCGTCTTCTGCCGGGTTCAATTGTAACTCAAAAGCTTTTTATCATGTTGAATCAAACAAAAATTTAGATGAAAGTT